AAGATATCGATGTTTATGTGTTCCATTTCATTTTTGACAACTTCCAATTTTCACAAATTCATACTTCATACATTCCATGCTTCAATTTTCAATAGATGTTACAACTGTTTCTGTTCATTTTGAATTGTGCCCCATCAGCAAATGATGGTCCTGCGGGCTTTCCTCCCATGGGCTTTACTCCATTTGCGTTATCATGGTCAACTCTACTTTGATGAGGCAGCTCTTCTCCAGTCGCATTTTGAGTGCCTTCCAACCTCCTCAAGGGGTTCATTTTCTGGCACTCTATCTGATGGTGTTTTTCTGCTATTCATAAGCTTTTCAGGATCGTGATAGCTGTCCTCAAATATTCAGAGCCTTAAAGTGTATGAAAAATGACTAGACATGTTCTGTCTTGCTTCAATAATAAAAGCAGGGACAACAGACAAAGTTACATAGAAGCTTCCAGTTTGTATAAAAAAGCAATGATTAGACTAGCTGAACAATTATACAAGGTGCCTCAGAGGTGTTTAGCTTCCTGTTACTGGACACGTGCTAGCAAAACAAGGACAATCATCTGCCAGGAGACTACAGTGCTGCAAGGAAACATTCCAGGACAGGTGACTTTGAACATATCTTTGTTTCTAAGAATCAGACACACAATGTTTATGCTGACTTCCTCACATTTTCTAGAATGTTCTTACTCAATTGCTGCCTTTTTCATTTCCCCCAAAAGTACCAGATTCAAAACACAAAAGCAGTAAACACACTGGACAGTCTCATAAAGCAGGAAACACACCACAAAATCTAATAAAGAAATAGAAGAAAAGGTGAAACCCCTTTAACAAGAAATACATGGATGCAGACAAACTTGGTTTCTTTTCTTCTGCTCTGTTTTCTGTTCTACTTATTTCTCTTGTGTCTTATTCCTTCAGTCTTCTTGTTCTTGTTTTTTCTTTCCTTCAATCTTTAATTGTCCTCTTTATCTGCTCTCCACCTTCCCTCCATCTCTAGTTTCCTTTTCTACTTTGTTGTTAAGTGCCATGGAGTTGACTCTGACTCATATAGACCCCAAGGCTATAAATTTTTGCTGAAACAGAAAGCTTCCTCATCTTTCTACCATGGAGCATGGTGGGCTCAAACTGCTGACCCTGTGGTTCATGGTCTAGTGCTTATCCTACAGAGTTACTGCACTTCTGATGCTCATTTGTTCTACATGTAACTCAACAGAAATAGAAATTCCTTTTATGGACCTCTGATTTAAGTGAAAAATAGACAGTTTTGAGGGAGTCATTTTGGAGAGTGACATCAGTGACTCGGGGAAGGAGAGACTGGGAAACTAGGAGGAAGATTAATCCACTGAAAGTCACTGAGAGCAATAAAGTCTGCGGATTTCTCTTTATATCATGTGTTAAAATGTGGGCCACTGGTAAATGTTTAAGCTTAAATGGGAAATTAATTTGATCTGTGATAAATGAGGCATCAAAGATCCCTAATATTTGGAAAGTTAAGAAAAAAGATCACTTGGTGAGCATTTATATCATTTTGTTGTGCTTTATATAAAAATGGTCCTACTAAGGTAAGTAAAAAAAAAATACTGCTACAAAATCATAGAAAGCTTTATTAAACAAAAATATCAAAAGGTGAAGCTATTATTTCTCAACATATCCTCCATGTAGATTTACACACTT